TTGCCTTAAACTTGATAAATCGATATTCGAAAGAGATTATTGCAATCGATTAGATTTAATCGATTAGTTTCGATAGATTTGTTACGATAAAAGTAGAGAGATGTGAAAGCTTCAGTTATATTCTTTTATGTAACATCTTATATAAATTTTTTTTAAATTTAAATTTCAATTGACGAATCAATTAAATCAATATAATCAATATGAACGAATCAATGAACTAATGAAGTGGTTTGTTGATTGATTTTATTTGCTGTTAACTGAAAATTTGAACAATAAAAAAATTTTTGAATTATATAAGTCATTTTCAGAGAATATGATTGGCTTTTAAATTTTTCATATAATATTATACATTATTTCATCGATCAATTTTGCAATAATATTTACATATATCATATTTGTAATTTTTCGTAATTTTTAACATTTGATATTGCATATTAAACAACAGAATGTATTTATTTTCGATAACAATAAATATTAAATTTTAGTGTATTATGAAATCATTATAATTTTTCTATTAACTTTTTGATTTTAATAATTAAAATAGAATTTTGTCCATATAAATTTTTCAATAATCTTCTCCTATAAAAATTTGATCCTGATAAAATTTTATCGTTGATATTGCGACTTTCTAAGTCTTTAGTATATTCATCTTCTGTTAGAAATAATTTTTTAAAAAATTTCCATATACTTTTAAATATGACAGCAATTCTTAAAAAGAAATTTTTTTTTCTTTATAAGTTTATATCATAAACTGTTTTGATTATAAATATTATAAATATTATTATCATATTTTTCCAAAATTATACATATTATTGTATAGGAAGATATTTATAAAAAGTATATTAGTCATCGATACATCGTGCAATGTCAATCTCTTTTAATTTTGATTAAATTGTTTTTAATATAAAACTATCTAAATTTAAAAAAAGCAATAAAAAATTGTTGTTATCGCGTTTTGTAATTTAAACAAACACGCAAGTTCTATACACACATATTTCTATGACACGATTTCATCTTATCATGAGTGACAGATATATAATAAAACAATAAAATTACTTTGAAAAAAATTCGATTAGTTATTCTAAGAATGAAATAGATTTTTGAAATTTTAAAGTTTATAATAATTTACATTTTAAATATGACATCTTATATTGTGGAACATCTTATTTGAACAGAAAGAGAGAGAAAAAGATGAAATTATATATTTAAATATTAGAATTTTAATGTAAAATGTAACTGAATATAATAATAAAAAAATGAAGTTCAATATTTGGAATTCAGTCTTATATGTTATGTAGAATAAATTTTCATACTACAATAGATAAGTCAAAATATAATATAATAACAATTATATATTTGTATGGTATTTTTATATATCATAAACTTATTTATTGAATTATGAATAATTTATGAACAAGTTTGTGTTAAATGAAGCAAAGTAGAGACAAAACTAGATGACTGAAGATCTCTTATTTTATCATCTAGGTCTCATTTTGTCAATTCAATATTTATTTGTTTCTTCTAGAATTAACCATTCAAAAATATTGCACGAATACATTAGTATCCTGTATTGTATTCTATAGTTAAAATGTATATTTTATTCATCAAATAAACAAATGCACTTATAGCAATAATAACAATGAAGATTGTAACGCGACAGAAAAACAAGTGTTTTTAAAAATATCAAACAAGATAAAGATAAGAGGTATAAAAGAGAGAAAAAGAAAATACAGAGAAGAGGAAAAAACAGACATATAGAGTAAGTTGGAGTTAGCGAAAAGGGGTCATAAAAAAGAAAAAACGAAGAGATTTACCTGGCTCTGGTTAACTAACGACCAGATCTAAGTGGAATTTTGCAGACAAAATATAAATAAAACTAGAGAAATAATAAAACAAAATAGGAATGAAGAAATGGAAATTTGGAAAGAAGCTTAAAAGCATGAATCACGAAAAATTATGGCACAGACCTGGTGGCAGTTTAATTAATAAAAGTTATTTTATATAATAAAGTATGATACGTAAATTCAAATCTAATAAAAAAAAATTTATAATATTGTTAATAAAAATAGGAAACAGCTTAAATCAAAAGAATATAAATTTAGATATTTATGTAAGACTATAAAAGATTATACTTATGTAAGATTTTGAAATAAATTGAATATATAAACATATTACGCAATGCAAAAAAATAACTTTTTCAAAATTTTATCTGAAATAATAAAGCATTTTTATCATAAATTTAGCATTCCTTATCGTATGAAAAATTAAATACAATAGTATAATCATTAAATAATATTTAATAATTAATATATTATTTGATATAATATTTTTTTTTGTAATGAATTTTTATTTTAATTTATTCAAATCCACGAAATATCAAGATTAAATATGTAAAACAAAACTAAAAATATTACAAAATATTTTTAAAAAATGTTTTGTTAATATATAATATGTTAATGTTAATATGTTAATGTATAATTAATAATGTATATATATTTATGATTTCATTGCTAAGAATTTATGAAAGGTTTTTGAAAGGTTTTAATAATATAAAATAATTATTAATTAATTTTAATAATCTTTTATAATGCAATCTTTTAATTTTTAATTAATGATTTAGATTTTAGATCAGAATATCAAATTATTTTTTCTATACTACATTTAATTAGATTAACTTCTATATATTTTTATTTAATGATATAATATATATATTTCATTTTAATATTAATATTCTTTAACTGATTATTAAATATTGATAAAAATGAAATATATTTATTTTTATTTACTCATATCAATTTGGACAAGAAAAATAAATAATAGATAAAATAAATGAAAATGCAGGTGTTAGGTAAATATTTGAATATTTACCGCTATTTTAATATAGATACAGATTGAATTCATATCCATAAGTGATCATTACTAATCAATCAAATTTTATGTAGACACACACAGAAATAGGTATTTAAAACCACTTAAATATAAATAAATTATACTTATATACATATAGTTTGCCTTTTAAATTCTATATTGCAAATAAATTAAATAATTAATAATTTCTCAAAAATAGAAATGCTGTATTATCTTCGATCTTCAAAAACTTCCAAAAATATATAAAATCTTCCAAAAATAATTACTAATTAATCTTATAATTTTGTAAAAAGAATCCATAATTTTCAAGCACAATGAAAACATTAAAAAAAAAAACTAAACTCCTGACCCCAAATCTTTCAATTCCCAATCCAAACTTTTACAATTCAATTCTAATATTCTTTTCTTCACAAAAATGTGCCCAAATTCCAACCTACCCACAATCCCCTCTATCAAATTCTCTTTTCACAACTCTCCGAATCGAATTCCTCCGCCATCCTGAATTCTTTTCACAAAAGTTCAAATTTCCAATTTACAACGCCCTAATCAGTTGATCCACTCTATACACACCCTTCTCCTCTTCTGCCATCCCTCATCGGATGAAAGCATACAAACTCGTCCAAGTCTTCCCTTGAGTTCCTCCATCTTCCCCCCTCCCCCCTTCGCTTCCTGTTCCGGCCGCGAAGACACGCGAAACCAGCAGCAGAATTTAACAGGCTTAAAATTCAGGTTAGAACGTAAGTGAATTTCCCGGGAGACGGGGGATGTCAGTGGTGGGCGAAATATATGGAAATGACAAAGTTTTTCCGCGCGTCGCGGAGTGCCTCTATTTGAAAGGCAGATATGCAGATAGCATATATATATATAGGTGAAAGAATAATTTTGCGCATCGTCCCGGTGCCCGGTGAGCTTTATTTCGTTGGATATGTACGATGACGGCGGTATATATTGTATATATGTACGTGTGTTTCGAGTCATCCTTTTACGCGGCTTGTTACTTCTGCTTGTGTCCTTACGAAAACAAGAGATATCTACGACAAATTTCTCGATATGGTTTCGTTATGGAAATGTTGTAACAGTTGATCCCTTTCTTCTCTTCCCTCTCCAACAAGATTTTCGAGATTTCACGCAAATCGTTCTAATCGTTTCCAACAAAGGAAAGGATTACCATCTTGTGAAAATGCACGTGTAATATTTTACGAGAAGACGGAGAGTCATCTGATCGAATTATATTTATGAGATTAATTTTTAGACAAATTAATATATATATTTTTAATTCGTTTATTTTTTGCTTTGTAAATTTTCACTTTATTATTTTGGTATCATTGCTCAAATTATAGATAGTGGTTATTCATGTTCGAGCTTTTCAATAAGTAAAAATTTTTGAAAAAATTCTGAATCATTGAATATATTTAATTATTAATTAAAATATTTAGTATTTAAGTTTCATGGATTATTCGTAAGTGCATTGATATTGTAAAAATTGTTAGACAATATTATATTTAAGTAAAAAAATTTCGGGATTTAATTTCGACAAAGAAATTTTTTATTGACAAAAAAATTGCATCATAATTCATTAAGTTTTACATAGATATAAACTATCATTAAAATCACGATTTTTTAATTAAATTTAAAAATTGTAAATAAATAATACCTATTAATTCTTATAAAATAGTGCTTAAATACGAGATATTGTATAGCTTATGAGAATAGAAAAATATTTTCAACTACGCATCATTTCTTTCTTAATGTATTACTTATATGTTTACTAATTTTAAGTAGATTATATTATCACGTTCAGACAATATTTGGTCTTTGGCTTTCATGATCAATATTGAATAGAAATCGATGAGCATACGTCTTTAATCAATAGAAGAACGTTTAGAAAAATTCTTTATAAAATCTTTTACGCGTATTTATTATTTCTATGTTTTTGATGAGAAATAAAGAACACGTCACATTACGTAATAGAAGTAATAAAAACGATGATTGTCAGATGCTTGTATGTGTATGTATGTAATTAATACGTTAATTACACACCAGTGTTTCCAATTAGGTTATAAAGATATATCTTTGAAACAGTGTGTCTTTAAACAAATGATAAGAAAGATAACGAAATGATCACGCTCAAATACGTATAAAGATTTGTTTATTTGTATCGATTTTTTTGATTTACTACCACGTTTCTCTTTTCATTATCATTTTAAAATTTCGCATTTTCATTTTCAAATAATAAAACGCAAGTTCTTCTTTTTATTTATTATCATTAATTTAAAATACTTGGAAAATATTGAGATTAAAAAGAACTTTAAAAGAAAATGTATAAAATACTTTAAAGGAAAAAAACAATAACATACTTGAAAAATCAACAAAGGAGCGTTAAAAATCAATCGTCAAGCAAATGGTCCAAACATCCAAATTCTTTCAATCTCAACAACATATTCGCCATAATTTCCGAACATTCGTCACCACCTTGTTCACGCAATGCCGGACCCCAATCCTGTATATCCATCTCGAACAATTTTTCCGGACCACCGTCACTCAGACCCATCACTGTGGGCAAGAAAAACGTGGCGATGAAAAATCCAAACAGACCCTTCCTCTTGTAATCCTCTCGCAAAGCCTCGTACGAATATTTCTCACTGTCCATGCCGTTTTCCTCGAGACAACGAGTCAAGGAATCGTGATACACCTTCAAAACTTTATCAAGCATACTCTTATCCACCTCCCTCGCACAATGGAGGCAGAGAAACGTGGACAAATCCAAGACCGGCGATCCGTACCTAGTCAATGCGAAATCGATGAACATACATTTAATTTCGCCGTTTTCGTTCTTGAACAACGTATTGTTCATAGTGAAGTCACCGTGGCAAAGCGTGGCGAGAGGTTCCTCGGCTTCGACGTATTTCATAATCAGATTATCGTACGTGCTCCTCAATTTATCCTCGAGTTTGTCACAGAATCGCGGATCGTATCCCCTCCCGCGAAGATATTCCACCGATCTGCCCGCCGTTCCGTCGTAAACAACTTTCAAGATCGATCCCTCATAATACCTGACCTCTTGGAGATCGTTCACGAAATCGAAGAATTGTTCACGGCGCCTCTCCTTCGCCATGTAAGCTTTGGCGTGGAATCTCGCGATCTCTCGAAACGCGGCCATCGTGTATTCGAGAGGCACGTCGTATTTCCATTTGCAGATATTGTATCCGCGTTGGGCGACCACGTTCTCGAGAACGATCGCCGAGTCGGACGGCGGTTTCTCCTCGGCGAGCACGCATCGAGGAAATTCTTCGTGGTGTTTCGCGTATCTTTGGTAGAACAGTATCTCGTTGTGGAATTGCTCGTTCATTCTCATTATGTCACGCACGTCGGATATAACGGGTGGTTTCTTCAAGACAACGTTCACCGTTCTCCTTTTATCCGTGTCCTTGGCATTCGAGTTTATGTTGAGGTAGTACAGATTCGAGATGAAGAAGGAATCTTTTGGCACGGATATCTCGTAGCGTACGTCATCGAAATCTTTGCCAAGATTCGCTACTATTTTGTTGATCAAAGGATCCAACAAGTCTTTTTCCGATCGCTCGCACATCGCTTACAATTACGCGGGAAGTTGTTGCTTTGGATCGTCGTTACAGCGAACTGGCGGCGAATGCTGTTGAAAATGGTATTATAAGCTGGCTTGTACACACCGATAAAACTGAGCTCGTGAGGAAAGGAGACAGACGGAGTGAGAAACGATACGACAAATCACTAACATGGCCGACCTAAAGATCCATTCATAATGTAGCAGCATGAGATGGAACGTATTATTATTCTACATGAATATAAATTGAGTTATATCATTGTTAAAGGAATTTTGCAATCGAGAATAATTAAAATGTTTCTATTAGTTTGATTCGTTAATTTTATTATTATGTTTAGATACTTGGAAAAATGATTAGGAAAAGAACAAAAAGAGAGAAGATTTAATATTATATTCTACATGAATACAAATTGAATTATTTAATCATTGTTAAACCAGTTATGTAATCGAAAATATTTAAAATGTTTCTATTAATTTAACTCATTAATTTTATTACTATGTTTAGATATTTGGGAAAATGATTAGGAAAAGATGGACAAAAGAACAGAAGATATTAATCGATGTAATTAATGTGTTACTTGTATGGATATAAATGTGTTTAATGAAATGTTGTAGAAATGTTAATCTATATAAAGTATTAAAGCGATGTGTATGCACCTAAATATCACAATAAGACAGATAAAAATGATGAAATGCTCAATTAATATCAATGATTCAGGATGGATTATATAATGGAGGATAAATTGAATGTATACGTAGAATTTTAGATATTTATAATATTTAGCAGAATATCTAATATATTCGTATTATTTCTTTTTAATGTGTTACTACGCAATTGCTTAAGTCATCTTACAAAGTAATTATTTGATGTTTAAATCCAAAGTTTTCCATTAGTCTTCCTAGTACATTTTATCATCGAGTTTTAAAATGAAGTTCTTATCTCTTATCTCATTTCTCTTCCTATTTAAATGATAGATGTTAAACAAATATTATTAAATAAATTTTTTTATTCAATTCGATAAGAGCTATATCTGTAACTGTAAAAATTAATAGCACTTTTTATTTAAAAATCGTCTGAAGAAAATTTCTTGCATACCAAAAAAGCAAACTTCTCTCAAAAAAAAACTATTTAATTATATATAAAAAAAAAATGAAGTTATATTCATTTGTTTCAGAGAATATATCATTTTGCATGAATATATTTCAAATAAAAAGTATAAGATAAATACATACACAAGGCTACACAATGATGTATCAGTTATTGAATCTCCAATTTGAAATTCTTTTGATTTTCTGAATTAATAAAAAATACTAATTTAATAATGAAAAAAATTATACAAATAATAATATTATTTAAATGTATAAAGGAAAAGTAATCGAGTTTCATTAGTTAGAAATACCAATTTCCATTTGAGATCATTTTAATTTCATTGAATAGAATACGTTAAAATCTATGAACTAATGTAAAGTTTGTGCATCCATTTCCTTTATAATCACTATTAGAGAAAAGTACATCCATCTTCTCTTAACTCAACCAATCCCTAATTTCTAAGCAGTAACGTACTTCGATAACTTTCCTAACTTCCTTGCAAGTGAATGACATTCAAGACAGAATTCTCCCTTCCCTAAAATTTCTCGAGTCCAGGACAGAATTACGACATCCAACGGACTAGTCACTCTCATTCAATTCTAAAACCGGTTTTTCGATTTGCATAGAGTCTACAACGCGAATTCTCAATGATTCTACGAACCACGATTTTACATTATGAATTATATACATACATACACTTATTATGTTTAGATACTATTTCTGATGTAAATAATTATAATAATTATTTATATAATTCTATAAAGATTTTTAACATTTATATTTGAGTATATCTATATATTTATTTATTTACACATTTTTATTAGAGAATTTATAATAACAGATATTAAAAAGATATTGAAGATTTATTATATTTACTCCAGAAAATTTTTATTGTCTCTTGCCTTTCTTCATTTCCATCTGACTTTAAATATATAACGTTCTTATTACTTTACCAAACTTTACTTTACTTAACCTTACTAAAAATATATTTTTATATAATTATGAAAAGAGAGGAGAGTTTGGTTATT